AGTAGTCCGTCCACCGAACTGCTTTCGCACATGAAAGTTAGTTGGGAGTATTTGGTGGGTCTATTTTTTAGGGTTCTCTATTCTTTTCCATTCATCTATGTGTCTATCCCTCCTTCAATACCACATTGTCTTGATTACTTTATGTAATAAGCATTAATTAATATTAGGTATTTTCTTTTTCAAAATTATTGTAACTATTCTAGGGGCTGTGCCTTTCTGTGTAAATTTTAGAACACAAACAGATTTTTCAAGGCTAGGAAGTGTTCATGATATACTCCCCTCCCCATATACATTTAAATTGCCAGGTAGAAACAGTACCTTGGATCCTTGCTATCAGAACATCAGAAAGGCTATAGGCGGAGTATAGGTAAACTACAGCGCATTCATTCCTTAAGTTGATATTATACCTTGCAGAGACCTAAGAGATCACCTACTCCAAACCTTAAAGATAAGGAAAGTCAGTCCCACTGCGGTCTTATTCCAAGACTCAGGGTCAGGAAGTAACGGAGTAGGGATTAAAATACAGGCATTCTAGATTTCTAGTTTTTCCCCATTCTTTTCACCCAGCCACAATCATTTCTACCTTGCTCTCTCTTGATCTTGGTCTCCCTCCTAGGCCCCATTAGATAGGGGCACAAATCCATGTGTACACCTACAGCAGATGTTGGAGCCTGCTTTCCCTGGAATCAAAGGCTCTCTGCCCCCAAACCTTGAAATTCCAGAGGAAAGAAATCTCGAAATGCAAACAGCACCTTTCACACCCTGAGGACTGCTTTGCGCTGGTCTGTGTCATACAAACACACACAAATATGCTTGGGTCTCACGGGTAGGAGGTGAAACTGTGGAGGGTTAAATCTGTGGCAATCTGTAGGTGAGGGAGAAGAATCTTACCAGGAACACATCTAAAGTATCAGACAGCAATGAGGATGCAGTGCTGAGGGAATTCTTCTACTTCGCTGAAATGCTGGGCTGGACCTCACAGGGCCACCTTTACAGGCTCATCACTCGAGGCTTGGCTCAAATCTCAGACCCCAAGCCTCCATGCTAAAGGCACCCCACCCTCAAACCCCTTAATTTTCTATCCCATTCCCTTTTCAATTTTTTATGGTCCTTATCAATATCTGAAATGATCTTACTTGTTCACTTATTTTTTTACTGCCCCCACCTCTGGCCCTGTTTTGAGGACAGAGATCTTGCTGTGCTGTTCAATATTGTATCCACAGTGCAGTGCCCAGAATACTGCCTAGCCTATAAACATTCATCACACTGAAGAACAAGATGAGAGGATTTGACTGACTGGACAGCAACACTTTCTGTACAGCTACAATAGTTAAGACACTATGTCAGCACAAGGATGGACAAACAGACCAAGGGAACACGAAAGCCAGATTTTGGCATCTCAGAGAACTAAATGTAAAAAGCAAGACCATGAAAGCTTTTAAAACATAGTTTAGGATATTCTCTTCATGACTTTAGGGTAGGAAAAGATGGATACACTTGATGACATTAAAATTAACAACTCTGTTCATCAAAAGATAACATTAAAGAAGGGAAAAGACAAGCCACACAGAGTGGGAAATTATGTTTGTGGCACATTTAACCAACAGTGGGATGGTATGCAGACTCAGTAAGTAAAAGACAACTCCACCGACAAATGGACAAAAGATTAAGACAAAAATGTCCCTCAAAGGGTATCCGAAGTGTCAATAAACATATATAAAAGGTGCCCATCCTCTTTAGACATTAGGGAAATATAAATTAAGATCATAGTGAGATATCTCTGCACATCTAGCAGAATGGCTAAAATTAAAAAGAATGACAATATCACCCAAATGTTAATGAGAACATATAGCAAAGAAAACTCCTCCTGAGAGACGGTAAATTGATAGAATTACTTTGGAAAAATAATTTGACAGTCTCTAGTAAAAGTGAAGAAATTTATCCCCCAGGGACCCAGCCATTCCATTCCTAGGAGTGCACCCAACAGAAACACCTGTGCAGCAGGACCTGTGCAGCAGCACTGTTCACAGCAGTCCCAAGTTGTAGACATCCCCAAGTCCTACACTGCTGACAGAAATATGCTGTTATGCTGATTCAGAGCAATTCTATATAATGATGTAAATGAAAGGACTTTAGATACACAGCACAGGATGATTCTTAGTTAGAGCAAGAGAAGATAGACACAAAATAGAATGAGTAAGATTTGAAGAAATGAATAGTTCTCTTTATGTAAAGCTCAAAAACAGGCCAAAAAAAAAAAAAAAGCTGGCTGGTTAGAGCATGGTGCTGATAACACCAACATTTGGGGTTCGATCCCTGTATATGCCAGAAAACAAAACAATAAAACACAACAGGCAAACAACAACAACAACAAAAAACCCCTACATTATTTGGGAGTACAAAATTAGGTAGTAGAATTACAATGAAGGGCAAACGAATACCATAAAATTTGTGTAGTAGGTAGAGCCAGAGAGGTATTTCTTGACTTGCTGGTGGCTGTTCGGTGTCTGTTTACAACAATATACATCTACTCATTTATGCATTATGCTTTTCTGTATGACTTCTCTATTTCTCAACTTAAAGAGCTTTAAAGAAACAAACTGCAGGATGTAAAATCAAAGAAAATTAAAACTTCTATAGATGGGATGATCACCACCATGTTAAATATATAAAACTTGTTTATAGAAAAAAAGCTAGAAGAAGCTTAACAAAATATTAAGAACAGTTGTTTTAAGATGTTGGAATAAAAGAACAGCTGCTCTTTAAACCAATGCGGAAGGAAGAAATAGGAATGCTGACTGAATTCCTTGCAGATTACTCTGACAATCACAGCCTGCTCTTCCAGGAGCGCCCACAAGATGGAGTAGTCATATCTCCAAGTTGAGTTGTATGTTCTATTACCGCCTGACAAACTTTCAGGGTGAACTTTTCGGAGTTTTTCTCCCCTCCCTTTCCCTGTGTATCTGCTGTTCTCTTGTCTTTGGTCTGATGTGCAAGCAAACTAGGCCTTCCTCTTCTCTGGTAAGATTCAAAGCAGAAAGGAATTAGGAACTAACATTATTGAGCATCTGCTCATGCCTGGCCCTTTGCTGGGCACTTTACAAGCATCACCTCATTTACTGGTTGTTAAAACTCATGCAGGCTATCCAGGTGTTCGCCTGGGGCCCACCCCACCTGCTCTGTCCCATACATAACGCCCAGCTGAGCACAGGGACCGCCCCAGGGAATGTTTTCCTGAGTGTTTGTGCATGTGCACATGTGTGTATACAGACATATATGTATGTTTATAGCTCTGTTAAGTCAGACTTATTAATTACTCAAATACTATAAAATCTTTTTGGTAAAATCCTTTTACTCTGTAAGAGTTAACTAACACTATAATGTCTTTGTATTTTTAAATCAAGTTCTCTACTTCAGATCATTAAAAATTAAAAAGGACAATAAGCAACTGAGTTGGAGGGGTGTCAGGAAATGGGCACTCATAATAGCGCTGTTGATCGTTAATTGCCATAGTCATTTCAGAAAGTAATCTGAAATCTACTAAATATACGCATACCCTTTGATTATGCAATCCCTCTTTTATATCCTACAGAAAAAAAGCATCAGTACCTAAGGACATATGCTCAATGATGCTGTTGAAGCATTATTTATAATGGGCCCACACTAGAAATTACCTCAATGTCAATCAACAGATCTGTTAAATTAAATACACTATAGCCATACCATGAAATATTACGCGGTTTCTAAATAATCTAAACAATGAATTGCTGAAGGACTGTACCTGCTGTGTTATTAAGCAAGAAAGATGTGGAGTAATATGAATATATGACCCACAGCCTAATTCCCTCTCCCTGGAATTCCCCTTATAAGCCTTATCTGTCTGCAAACATAATGAAAGATGAAATGCGTTAGAGTACTAACATTGTTTCCTTCCATGGGATGGGATCTGAGGGTTTTGGAGGGAGACCTTTTCCTTTCCACATCTGTACTGTTTGCCTTTTGATCTTTTTTCTGTCTGCAAACATAATGAAAGATGAAATGCGTTAGAGTACTAACATTGTTTCCTTCCATGGGATGGGATCGGAGGGTTTTGGAGGGAGACCTTTTCCTTTCCACATCTGTACTGTTTGCCTTTTGATCTTTTTTTTTTTTTTTTTAACTTTAGTGATAGTAATTTAAAAAATAAGTAACCCAAATGGGAAAAAAAAAAAAAAACCTTTAAAATTAGTATTTAATTCCTTACAGATGAGGAAACAGGTTGAGTAAGGTGAGGCAGTTTTCAGCTGGTAGTGATCGCGTCTGAACGTTTGCTGTCTACCTCCAGTGTCCGGGACGCACCGCTGGAGGGAAACCCCGTGAAAAACTTTAAAATTAGTATTTAATTCCTTACAGATAAGGAAACAGGTTGAGTAAGGTGAGGCAGTTTTCAGCTGGTAGTGATCACGTCTGAACGTTTGCTGTCTACCTCCAGTGTCCGGGACGCACCGCTGGAGGGAAACCCCGT